GTCGCCCATCTTATATATCGTTTTATGTTAAAAAGTATTGTCATCAGCTTTGAGGAAATTTCAGAATTGTTTTACAAAATTAATGGAGAACATGTGATGGGTAGATTACGTATTTTCATTTAGGATTTTTTGGTTCAGTTTAAACGATTTCCTTATTGCCTACGCAGGAGACAACGATAAACAATTTTGCCATATGTAAAAGAAAATAAATATGTAAATCACTCAATGTGTAATAAGTATAAGCTCATCTTCAAACCTGAGCGGCATTGTTGGATCATCTGTCGTCTTCAAACGTTGTTCTGCTATTCATCAAGTACCGAACGATAAGTGGACCCGATGCATATCTGCACGTGTCAGTGCAGCCGCAGAATTTTTGGTCACTTTAAACTTTAACTGGCAGGATTATCACCTGTGAAACAGCGAGTACTTGTAATGGAACCTAAGTCAGTTCTCTCACGATGAATATGGCATAATCATGAGGCATCACTCATTGGCACAGAGTACGATTAAGATCAAGGATAGGAATGACCATTTTAATACTCCTGCTCTAGAAAGCAGGAAGCGTACGATCATTCATTTTCCCGGGACATAATGTTTTAATTGCCAGTAACGTGAGCTGAACATGAATATGATCTGCTCGTTTAAATTCGTTTTTAGTCAGTATCAGTATAAATTTTTTATTGTAGAATTGTGCCTACTCGATACTGAAGTTTATAAAAGCAGCGCACGCAGCGGTCTTGACTGTCCTTATTCTACATGGCTTCATCTACTAGTATCACGATAGTATCAGTAGTGATCCGGTTCCTATGTAATAATCTAAATATGTCAGTATATCTGAACTGCTCGACATGTTCCTGTATTGGAAGGGAAGCTAAGATTTCGTAGGATTTGACGCCTCCGTACGATACCGCATTTGGCATCCAATAGGACTAGATGTGCTCATTTTTGAGTTGACACCACATGGATCACTTACCACATATTCAGAACCTTCCATTCGTTTACACATTGATTCAATGTAAGACTTCGCTGTAATTGTATCGATGTATTGCTGCTGTTAAAATAGCATCAAGTGACGGTTTGCTATAATAACTCCTGGGCTTCTAGGATCAAGAAGTTCTATGATCAAGTCATGTGTTTTAACGCGATGTATCGGTAAAATTGTACCAACTGGTGAATAAATGTGATCAGAAAATGATGTTTCAATTTTTTGAAAGTTTATTTTTAAATAATGCGCGTGCAACAGTTATTTCGCATTTTATTCAAATCAGTACAGTAGTGAGCAATTGTACTACTGTGAATATGCGCGCAGCTAGTTTTTCTACTGAAGTTTCACTTTAAACGGAGGCCTTCGAAAAAGAAGTTGCGTTGTTACCTCGATTTGGGATTGTTTTTTAATTGTCTTCTCGGTAACCGATGCATGTATTCGCTGTTGTTTAGGTTTGGCGGCGTGATTCCGGCCGTGGCGAAGCGCCAACATGAACTTAACATAAAACCCGCAGTTGAAGCAGCGTTACAAAAGAGTGGAATCACGATCAGCGTAAGTGTAACTATAGAATAATGAACTATTTTATATCTTCATATAAAATACTAAAAGTGCACAAGCTCCAGAGATGCCTTATACTGTTATTGAACTTTGTGGTTGACTGTGATGCCGCAAATCCTCATCCAAATCAACAGCAACGAGCTGACCATTGTCAACAGTCCAGTTCTTGGTATCCAGCCGTACTACTAACGGGTGTTGAGCAGTTGCATGACGTCAACCTATTCAGAGACTCCGGGAGTGACTTATTGACATTCGTCGAAAACAGTTGCGACACGGCTGTAGGAGTGCAGCTGCAAGTGAACGTCAAGAAGACAAAGATGGTAAAAGCGTCCTCTGCGGTCGACAGGAATATTTGTGGAAGGATATTGTGATAAAAGATGGTCAGTTTTTTGCACCTCGGACCAATCTTGGTTAATGATGGCGGTGTTGATACTTAGGTTGACCAACGCCATGGGCTATCATCAGCAAATTGTAGCAAGCTGTTTGACACGAAGGGATCTAAGCATGAGCAATATTGCGAAGATTGCTATCTTAAAAACAACCGTATTCGCCGTTCACATGTATAATCTCGAAACATCGCTCCTGCGATGCTGAAAGCTCATGAAGCAGGAAATATTTCGCAGCCTCAGCCGCGCTGTCGATGAAGTATCCTCAGAGTGTGACGTTACAATCAGGTCGCGTTCAACATCTGAGAATTCTCTCAGAAGAACTTGGAGATCGGCGCTTGTAGTGATTTAATACAGCGGTCCAAAAAGAAAATGGATGTGTTCAAACTTTTTCTCGCGTAGAAATTATCCATTGACATTAGAGTAATTGGACAATAAATTTTTTTGTTTTGTCATCGTAGCCTGAAGGTAACGAGTTTAAGCAATCGAGCAGTCATGATTTAAGATATCTGACCATTACTGCAAGTCAGATCGCTTGGTAAAAACGCTTGAACTGCCCTTTAGATGTAAACCGCTCAAGGGACAGATGTCATAAACAGCGCGCAGCGCAACGAAGTTGCGATGGTAAACAGTCCAGAAATTTGAAACACATGGGGGAGACTAACCTGCTTGTGTTGGCGGATGTAATTTGTGCTACAGCAGCTAACATAGCCTGATATTAATTTCGAATACTGTGTAGCAGATATAATATATCTGAGCTTTGCAGTTCAGATTTTGGTAGCTCTCAATGACAATGATGAAATAACAGTAATATAATAAGAGGTTAGATTGATGCTGATTTGTAGTTTATTTTTCAAATACGAAGAGTACGAAGAAAACAGTCTATAGCTCCTGAGATGTTGGTGTTCTATATACTTAGTATTGAGCTCAGTTTGTGGCATTTTCTCTCGTGCAGTTATTCACGCGTCACTGATGTCATTGATCAACTGTTACTAAAAGCTTCTTATTTGAGGTAGTATCTACAGTCAGGTGGCCATTAAAAATTTCAGCTTTTCTCACATAACTGTACTTGTTTATCTATCGCAGAAAGACGAAAGCGGGTATCAGCCGATATTCGGCCCTCAATCTTTCGGCATCAGACTTGGTGTTAAATCGAACGAGGCGCTGTACTTGGTTTTGAAAACGTATTGGTACGAAAAATTTTAATTTTTCTTTAGAACCGCTCCTCTGTCATAATCTTTGATTCGTACGGATGAAAGTAGGAAAATTCAAACGGTAATGGCAAAGTCTTATTCACTCTTCGTTTATAAGACACGTTTATGTCAGAGACGTCCCAGTCCTTGTCATTTGAGCTGGTAGATTTGAAGCGCGGCTTATATGTATGCGTGAATAAAATCTTTTTAATGCTTGAGTGAATCGCTACGTAACAAATTGTATTAAACTTGTGAATTTGGAAAGCCAGCTTCTGTTTTTCCAGAACTGTGTCTTATCTGTAATGTTAAACTCACATCCTTGAGATTGCAAAGGAAAGATAAAGCATATACCCTGTTGAGATGCCCATCTTCCTTACATTGCCAGTACGGGATCAATTTTTAGGACTGTATTTGCATGGAACCAGTGATGCAACCCTGCCTTCCGTTTCGTTGCCGTTAGCCTGTTCATGCGACCTATTTATTATGGTAATATCTACGGTTATGTGACAGTCGCAACAATAACCTAATCATTCTTTGTCACAAACATTTGCATTCACTTATTCTTCCTGCCTAGATTCGAATCCACGATTTACCAATTATGAAACCGGCTTCCCGCCAGCTGATCTGAAATGATTCAGAACATCAACACTGCGGTGTATTGTGCTCATTATTCACTCTTGTCAATTTCGGAGCTTTATCTGACTGCGATCTGTATTTTGCAACGGTGTTTCATCGGTAACGCATATTCGCTGTTGATTTATGACCTTTTTCCGAGCAAGGACTTTATTTCGATTATATACTGTAAACATCTGAAGAAGACTCAGATTATGTTTAACAGATACAAGGCTGAGCTCCTGTTGAGGTTAACGGACTTAGGCTTGAAGAAGTGCAAAACTACGTCTATCTGGAACGGCTCATCTGTGCAACTGAGAACCGACTGTATGAAATAAACAGAAAAGTTAAAGTAGCACGGAGCACTTGAAGGACCGAAGATGTTTCTATTCGAAAAACTGTCCTTGTGCTTGAAGCGGTAGATATGCGATCAGTTTGTGCTTCTAGTGATAAATATATCAGTGCAAAACGTGCACCATGAACTCAACTTCTGTTCGTAAACTTCAGATAACGCAACGCAGCATAGGAAGATGTATGTTGATCATAACAAGAAAAAATTGCAAGACGAATTAATGGATAGGAGCATATACAAAAACTTGTGATGTCATTGTCCGAGTGAAGAAGTTGAAATGTCAGTAAGAAGGATACGTTACAAGAGGAAACGACTATCGTTGGCCCAGAGAAACAGTAGGTTTGGTTCCAAGATGAAGCAAACCGCCGCAGGAAGGCCTCTGGTTCGATGGCAGGATAAATTGACGTAGCTCGCTCGATCGGAATGGTTGAATATGGCAGAAACAGAAGTCTATGGCGAAGTCACTGCGAAGCCCTTCATGAAACAGTAGATAGACAGAAGCTGATGATGACTTTAAGCATCTCACCCATATTAGCCCTCGTAAAGTAAATAAGTTTGTGGCTTCTTTAATGCATCAATTCCGTCATCTCTTCAATATGAATGTCTTCTTTCATTCGAAAGGTTGACGTCATTGTGCTGCGAATCGTTGCGTTGGAAACATGCAAATATTGGCCTCCTCCCAACCCTGTCGTCTCAAATCATGGCATCTTTTTAAGTGATAATCTTTTGGGAAGATCAGAGAGGATTTGTTAGTTAAGTCGCTGCTTTTCATTTTGTTAGCCACTGTTTCACCGTCGATGTGCGGGGGCGGGGTCTTCGCCAGTGTAACGACTAATGTGATTACAGTTCATCGTGCTGCTTCTAGATGATGTAACCACCAGGTTGTGACAACTTCAAAGCCGTTTCTATGTTTCATGAACCCGGAAGACTCACTGCTGAATTGGTTCGAAGTCAGAAACGGTATGAGATAAAGTGATCTTGCTTTGATGTTTTATGGCACTGTCATCTGTTACTTGAAAAAGAATGGTAATCACAGAATAAAAATCGGTTTGGCGCCAAGGCGATGGCATGGTTAAAGTCATCTCACGTTCTGCTATCACAGGATAATGTTTTGCCAAGTAGTACCGGATGCGATTTAAGGCTGTCGACAAAGGCGATTAAAGCCACCGCAGCTTATTAGTCCTTCGACTTTACCGAATGAAAATAGAATGGAAGACAGGAGGAATTGTGGAAACAGGCTTTTCCAGCCAAGGAAAGTGATTGGTCGAAGCTGATCACTTTGGGTACTTAGGTTAAACTACTATTGGCTGCTGCTGCCATACACCTAGACGGTTGAACGGCTGTAGCAAGGCCGGCATTTGAAAGCCTAGCTGAAATCTGGTGCCAACCGAGTATTAATTACTTGCCAAAAGTCGAAAAATTCGTCTCAGCAACGGCAGATCTGCGTGGTTTTGGGATACTAGTGCTACCGAAAGCTCTCCAGCAGTCTAAACGTCTTCTAGAAAGATTGTCGTCGTATCGTGTTAATGGTCCGCTAATGTCATCGATTTATCTACCAGGGGTACTAGCCAAAATAAAATTACCAGTCATGCTGAAGGGGCGAGAGATTTCATTGTTTGACAGATTAGTATGCAATGACTCCTTATCGTTAATTCATTGAAATCTTCTCTGGGTAACTAGCTACAGAACTTTTCGTCCGCGAAACCAATAATGAACAGAAACATTCTACTGGCAGAAAGGACTCGGTTAGGAGTGTCACATTCTAAGTAACGATGAATGTTGCTAAATTCAATCGACTCTATTTGCTGTTCAGTTCTTCAGTTCAGTTCAGGCTAAGTTAAATTGCTATAGGGTGTGACTAAGAGTTTATATGGCGATAACTCGCACGTTCATACTTTATCACTTTACCCTTGAATGCTTTCCAGTACATTGGTCGTTACCCGCTCTCACTACAGAATGAGCATCACAGTTAGACTATTGCCAGCTGAAATTGAAATACATTCAATTTCGATTCTGGTTTTATA